ACACTGACATGCAAGGACTGCAACAGAATCTGCGCTTCAAACATAGGAAGAATTAGCCATGAAAGAAGCTGCATGAAGAAAACCTTGAGACCATCTTAAGCTAAGCTAAATTGACCGTCTGCATAGACGAAAAGAGCCATATTATATGTTATACGTACACATATGTCCATTAATTTATGCACATTGGGCACTTTTAGAAAATGGAAATGCCCAGCATAATTGCTATTTATTATTTTATATTTTACTATTACAGCCTCGGAAGTCAGCAAACGTGGGGGGGTGTTCATTCTCTCCCTTGTTTTACATCCGACACCTCCTTCAATTGCAAATATCTCGACTTCTATTTAAAGTAGAAGGGTATCTTTACCATCAACATCGAGACAAGTAAACAGGCTTTGAGAGGACATCAATAACTCCAGATGGCCCAAAATTGACAAGCGCCTGACACCCCTCCCCCTCCGCCGTGACACACTTTTAAAAGTATGTGCAGAGCTGTACATTCTTATATTATCACTCAGAACCTGTGTACTTTAATCGGGGTTGAGGGTTATATAAATATCATTTATTATTATTATTATTACCTCTTTACTTTAGTTGTGTTTTTTAAAAGAAATTAGGTGCGTACTTTTAAAGAAAGCGATATCGCTTACCAGGGTTCTTGTCTCTATGTAGTAGACTACAATAATATCAATGATAGCCTACCCCCCTGTAATCAGTTTCAACGGTTTTTCAAATAATAAGAATCATTTTTTTTTCACAGGGCTGGTTGTTTATGGATTTATAATAATGTCTCTTTAGCAAAATTAACTTCTGGTAAGGGCCTACGATTCTTCGTATTTGTTTGAGTACATTATGTTCACACAAAGAAATGAAGTGGAGAACATTTTTATATAAGCCCTCGTATGAGACCTCTGTTACAGTTTTGGGGCATTTTAGAAGTACATAGTCGGCCAAATGTCTAAGCAAGAGTATCCCCTGTACAAAAGGCCACTTCCCATTTCTCCCTTTGCGGGTTTTTTTACATTGAAATGTTACTGTTTAAGGTGTCCACCTGTCTAATAATAAGGTCACTTTTCTCCTCAACAATGGATAAGCGTAATAGACAATTTTGACTGTATCTCATAGAGACGGTGTTACCCATATCCTTTTTAACATTATTACCGTGACTACTAGAGCACAAATAATATGACTCTTTTCAACCCCATCTGAATTTTGTTTTGTCTAGAGTGCAATTATCTATCATTCATATCTCTCCTCCTTTTTTGTGTTTGTTACTCTCTTGTAACACCTCTAATCTCCGGGTGGCGTCGGTAGCCTAGTGGATAGGCTACCGGACTCGTAATCGTGAGATTGCCGGTTCGGGGATCGAACCTCAGCTCTGCCCGACGTGTGTTCTTGGGAAAGGCACTTTACACGAATTTCCCACTTAGCTCGATCCTTCGGAGATAGACGTTAAACTAGGAGGACCCGCCTCTTAAATAACCGAATGGTGTTGATAGGGGCGTTAAACCCATACCATTTCACCATTTTGTTCTAATCTTCGGCACTTAAAAGATCTAATTGTGTTGCAAGTGCCATATGCCTTTAATAAAACAAGAATACCCGGTACATGGTTTTCAAAGTTTTTGTATTTTAGTGGATCGGTTTTTAACGGTTTCATGGGGAAACTTGTGAGAATGATTCCCACGTAATTTAGGGTTGTTCTTTCTTTCGGGGGCGAGGGTTATTTTTAAACAAAGGATCTCCGTCTAATTGCTCAGATGTTGCATCAGACTCAGCCCACATTCGCCCTGACAGGCTTAGTTAAATCACCCCCCCCCCTCTTACGCTATTTAAGTTATGTCGAAATGGGCGTAAAACACGGGCTCGTACTTTTCAAAATAACAAAGTTTTTTTGGGTTGTTTTTTAATAGTAGAGGGTTTTACGGCACTCGCAACTGCATAATGTCATATTATGAGCGCCAAACAAATGTTTTTGCAGAGTCTGAGTATAGTAGAGGGAAGTCACTTTGAGTAAAGCGGGCGTATTAAGTACAGTCGAAATTGTCTAAGACGGCCGCCTATTGCCGATGAGAAAAGATGTCTTCTTAGGTGGGGTTTTACACAGTGTCCTTATAATGTTTTTAAAAACGCAAGGGAGATAATGAGAAGTGGACCTCTGTACAGGTGATTGACGTGTACAGGTGAACGTTAGGGCAGGTTCAACTGTATCAGGAAAGGGCTGTTACCGAAATTGGCACGGTCAGGTCTGGCCACGCTTTTTGTCCCTCTACTTCATACAACAATAATACTTTCATTTTCAGATGGCAAGACTGCAGACTTGGGTGCTCAGTTTATTCACGGCAGGACTGGGAATCCTGTGTATGAGATTGCAGCAAAGTTGAAGAGAATTCCCTTTGCGACGTCAGTAAATCCAGTGGAGGAATCTTTGACCAACCCTGGCGACATCTTTTACACCTCTTCTGGGCACAAAGTAAACCTTATTAGTTTTAGTTTAAGAAGGAGCTTTACGCACGGCACTTGCTACGCAATAAAATCATACAAGTGCCGAAGATTATAGGTTTTACAAACATAAAAAAGAAAAAGGATTGATAAGGACGATAGATGTTTGACACCAAAGAACAAGAAAACCGTACCAGAGCACCCGCTAATCACCCTCAAGATGAACCTTGTTGTTATTCTCACGGTCAGGTCACAAGTCTTATCGGCGTCACAGTTTTTAGGTTTCCAGAGTTGTTGATATAGTGAAAATGCATGTTACTTAAATTTCGAAGTGAAGTAGAGAGATCTCATGCTCTGCAAGTTCTAACAACGGGGCGAAAGTTCCTACACACTTTCCCCACAGACCCGGAAAAGGGGACTCTCATGGTCTGAAGGTTTCGGTGTTCGCCTCTCATTCAACAGGTCCCGGAGTCGAACGCGGGTAGCGACGGAAAATTTCTTCTCTAAAATGTTCTCCTGTCGCCTGCTTCCGTCTTCACTTTCTGACCCCACCACCTCACCTCCTTTGACCCCCTCCTCTGGGCTCCTGACTCTTTCTGCAGCCTTTCTACTGCTACTCCTTGGCTCCACCTTTCTGCTGTCTTTCAGCCACACTCCTGATCTTATGGTGGGAAAGATCGACACCCAGCCTTCACTGATAAGGGCAAAAGATCTCGGAGATCCCGTGTGCAAGTTGGTAGTCCAGAATCGATGAGTAGGCTTCGGCCTCCACCAGGGCAAAATTCAAAATTTCCTACCAAATGAAAATGTTTAATATGTCCCGTAAAACACTTACAAACAAAAAGAAAACAAAAGACTCGGTAATCAACACGTTCATAGGGTTGACGCTGGGAAAGTCTTGCTTTTTACAGTTTCACGCACACATACACAAACATACGTACTCACACATATCTAAGTCTTTCTCTGATTCGAGAAAATCCTACTTTTGAGCTCAACATACCCCCTTGTTCCAAGCCCCACACGCATTTTGATCCACCCATCGCCATTACTCGGATCTTCAGCTCATTATGTCATCATCATCATCATCATCATCATCATCACCATCACCATCACCATCATCATCATCATCATCATCATCATCATCATCATCATCATCATCATCATCAACATCATCATCGTCATCATCATCATGTGTTATTCAAAACAATTAAGATCATGTTCTATCAGAATAAGAAATTCAACTACTACTGTTGCCATTCTAAATGTCACATTATTATCTCTGTCTCATAAAATTATGATTTTGAAAAGGTTTTGCTAGTTTGTTTTCTCCATATTTTGACATGCAATAACAATTAATCATTAACGTTTCCCTTTCATGTTTGAATCTCTTTGAGATCTTTGAAGCTTTATGGTTAGCTCTCTCTTCATCCTTTAGTTGGATGCATTGCAGGGATTTTAAAATAGAAATCTATCCACAGATTGAAAGGGATGAAGTGAAAGAGTTAATGGAGCTACTGAGTGAAGTTCTCGAAAATGAGGTGACAGATGGTAAGAAAAAGTGATACTGACTAGTACTTACTTTACTTTTACGTTTTATTTTTAGTGACTAATAATGACAAACAATTGCAATTGGCTACTTTGAATGAATGGATTGGTGAGTTTCAATCATTGAACGTAGTAAGAATCTTTGTGAGGGTCAATTTAACTCCTCCTTTTTCCCAGCCCTTTTGAACATTTACCAAAAGATAGCACATTTTAGCATTGTGTAGATATTGTTACTATTGTTATTGTTTTTGTTTCTGGTGCTTATTACTTTCCTTCCTGTCCTACACCCCCCCCCCCCCCCCCCCCCCCTCTCCTTTGTTTCATACTTATAAAATTCTAAGGAATTTGAAGCAGCATGCAAACTATGGCATTAGCCCAATGTTGTTAAGGTATATTTAACTATCAGTATTCAGTTCCTCAATTCAAATGTTAAAATGAGAATACTGATAGAGAATCCCAACACCTTCTTCCTCACTCAACCCCCGCGAGCCAGTGTGTCACTTCTCTCAAACTTGCCAACGCAACGCCCGTCTGTGTGACCTTTTGTAGCCCGAGCTGTAAAGAAATATTTTTGTAGATTCATAACCTCTTTTTGTCGTTGTTGTTTTCGTTTGTTTTTTTTCGAATCTACATTTTGTGCAGAAAGGGTGCTGTTTGCCTGTGTAAATGTTAGGATTTACGAGGTGGATCAAAAAGTTACCAGACTGCCATGTTGTTATATACGAGGTATATGGAATTGACCGTCGTAAAATGTATTCCTCATTGCACCATTCAAAGAGTCCTCTGTTGCTTGATTACAGAGATTCACTCTCAGGGATTCATGTTTTCAAATAGCCGCCTTTCAAGTGCGATTTCTTCAGCTTTGGGAACAAGAAAAGAATCACATGTAGCCAAGTCTGGTGAGTGTGGTGTATGAGGCATCAGAGTTATTTTGTTCTGTGTGAAATGTTGTTGAGCTTAATAGCGGTATGCTCGGGGCATTGTCGTAATAGAGAAGCCAGACATTAATTTGCTGCACACAATTCCTGTAGTTCTCGTCGAATGCTCTCCCTCAAACGCCTCAATACCTGCACAAAGTACATGTATAGTCGATTGATTGATTGTCCTCGAGGAATGATTTCTTTTAGTACATTGCCCCGCCAATCGTAAAAAACCCTCACAAACAGGCACTCCAAAGTGTTCCTAACACAATGAGCGTTCTTTGGGTGTGGCGAATGGAGGTATCTCCATTGTGGTGACTGCACCATTGTTTCTGGGTCGTAGCAGTGCAGCCAAGTTTCATCGCCAGTGACGATTCTTTGAAGGAAGTTTCCATCAGAATGAGACTGAAGAAAATTTCCAACCACATCTCTACCTCTTTACCAGTCTAAGATGCCAGTTTAGATGTTTTGACATTAACCATAAGAAATCCTCACACTGCGTGTGACTTCATCAACAGTTTAGCGACGGTCATTTAGGATGGCTCTGTCCACTTTTTAAAATCAGATTCTTGTTCATAGACAATTACTGGGCCGTCGTGAACGCAGCATTCGCCGCCGAAGACGGTTTGCCCAGCTTGGAATTTGGTGAACAACGAGAAGAATTGTATGTGTTCTTGATAATGAATAGTTACCAAAAGTAACCGACAATATTTCAAATGTCTCTGTAGCTGTTTTTCAAAACAAAATACAAAACCCGGCTTCGTTTCTTGACTCGTTCATTGAATCCATTCCCAAGAAGACGTGACAAATGGAACAACAATTTTAATATCCCAAAGCTGCAAAAAGTTTTCAAAAGATAAACACAGTCGCCGATGAACGTGAAGTGGCTTCAGAAAGTTGATTCCAAATTAAAGTAATCGATAAAACGTTGCACGTTATGACGTAAAGGCTTCTGTTGTCGTCAGTATTACATTAGACAAGAGAACGAAATTGTTTACTACCGGAAACACCCAGGTCTGTCACTTTTTGATCCACCCTCGTAAACTAATGGGCTTGAAGTTTAGGAATGTAATTTAAAAAGAGATGTTTGACCTCGTTTTCTTGTAAATGACTGAAAACTTCTGCAGGATATGGTAAATCAGTGCAGGAAGCCCTTGAAAGTGTCTACTCCAAATTTCTATCGGAAAACGAAGGAAAGATAAATCCTGCGATGGAGGAAGTCTATGAAGCTGCGTACAGGTACACATCTAAGCCAGTTGGTGTTTTTGGTTGTCACGATATGTATGGAAAATCTTATTTAGACTTCCCCTCGAATATTTGCATAGGCTGTATAATATGATGTAAAGACAGGACAGATCATATTAATATACGTGTACACCGACTCGTAAGTGCATACGGAAAATGTATGGAAGCTTAATATTATAAATGTTGGCAATATGTTGAAACTGTTTTCTTTAAAAGATTTACTTTAAAGCATAGTAGCACAGACAAACTTTCTCTAACGGCCACTTGTATTAGTCAATCAGCTGTACAATCGGCCACTACTCATTTCCCCCCTTCTTTAATTTTGACTTATAATGACACTGTATAAGACATACACCTGTCTAAGCCGGCCACTTATCTCATCCACTATGGGTGGCCGTCTTAGAAAGTTTCGACTGTAGTTTCTATACCTTGTTTTACTATCATTTCTGGATAACGTAGCTTTATGAATGCAATTTTTAGTACATGTGCTTGTATGGTCATTCATGCAAATGAAATGACAATATTATAGTTTCTTTTTGGCCTTTACATTATAATTGTGCTTTTTCTCCCACGATATATCATTGTATTCTAAGCCTTAAGCTCTTTGTTGTCGTGCTTAAGGCAGATGGGTAACCTCTTTCCTCATAATATATCTACAGAAGTTAACAGGACAACATTTTTCACTTATTTTCGCCTGAGTTCACAAATGTCAGCAGATTGTTGAACATGGAAAGTGGACATTTCAGCGTTTTATAATTCACCAGGTCTCTTGTATCTAGTCCGAAGGATTTATATCTAGGTAATATCAACAGTGTTTGCCCTCTGTCTCACCTCGTTTTAAATTGTGATTACGTGAATGACCGTCAGAAGTACCCAAGGACACTTCTCCCTTGAGATAAGTTCCGGGTATTTACCTTTTCCTGTGGTGTGACCTAAATCTCATTTTGCAGAGGTTACTGATCTAGAAAATACAGCTGTGCGCAGCTAATTCATGTCGAAACGTGAACCGCAAGTGAAATCCGAAGAAGAAGAAGAAGAAGAAGAAGAAGAAGACGATCTCTAACAAACTTTCCTAGGTCGTCTTTTTGTGATTTCTCCTCAACTTTTGTTGTTGTTATCCATTCACCTCCACTGTAATGCTCCTGAGTCCCTGCTCCCTCCTCCATTGCCTACTCGCTTATCCTGTTTGTTTGTTGTCTTATTTTACTTTTTTTTTGCCTGCTTCTTAGTAATCTTAGGCTATGTAACTCGTTGTGTATGGAAGTCTTAGGATTTTCCCCCTACTTTGTTTTGTTGTGGTATTAGCATAACCTTAACAGTTCTTCTTCGAAATTAAAAAAACAGTACATACATTGCTTTAGCGTACTGGCTTATATTAGTTACTTTATTCTTTCTAATCATTAGCTCGTGGTGAGACCAGACACAATTTAATAGAAAATGATATGTTTATCCAATCCGTACTCTCTCTCTCTCTCTCTCTCTCTCTCTCTCTCTCTCTCTCTCTCTCTCTCTCTCTCTCTCTCTCCCTCCCCCCCTCTCTCTCTCTCTTTTTTCTTCTCCCCCCTTGTCTATCTCTCTCTCCCTTTCTCTCCACCCCCTCCCCCGTGGGCCGGGGGTATATAAATACACCATCTGTAGGAGGTGAAACTCCTCCAATGACGAAGTGTCGCACACGGACCCCTACCCTCTTGGATCCGAATGCAACACATACTTTGGTGTATCTCCCTTTTCTCTTTCCTTCTTTCTTACTTCTTCTATCTCGTCGTCGACCGTCGACCGCCGACCTCATGTGGAGCAAAAGTAGAGGTCACCCATCCCCTAGAATGGGCGCCTCGTTGACCGTGAGGTGCGGCCCTTGCCGAGGGAAACCGGGTACCTGGATGTTGAGGTGAGATCAGTCTGCGGACTGTCCCTCGCTAACACACCTCATTAGCCCTGGTTTTCCTCTAAGACGGGAGGGTGGCACAGCCCTTACCACCCAATCGGTTAGGAGCTGAAACCCCTTCAGTCCCTGGGTCAAACTTGACGGGAGGGTCTTGTACTCTCTCGTGGAGAGTATAGCTCCGGGGTAGCTCTGGCACAGCTCAGGTCATCCAAGCAATGTGCCCCCAAATCGGGCTCGATGGTGGGTGGGGAGCTCCGGGGTCGAAACATCATCAAATCACATACTATGGGACCTTCGTCCATTAAAAATCCTTCCCCAGCTCCCAACGTTATGAAAAAGTCTCGGCTCGCGTAAGCGGGTGCGGCCGCCGAGCCGAGCAAACCAACCCCCTACTGGAAAAAAAGACCTTTACGGCTGTCTTCCCTCTTCCCAGGGATCTTCCACGGCAGCCGTACTTGACCATTCGTAGCACAGATGTGCAGAAAAAGATCACAGATCTTAACTTATTTAAGACTGGAGATGCACTAATACAAGTTCTGGGATACATTCCTACGAATATATAGAAACTGTCCTCTTGTGCACTCCTCGTCAAATATGCATCGGAAACAGAACTGGCCGGACTGGAAAGATCACGACCTTCGGTGGTGTTCCTTGTGTATCCGAGCGACATCAACAGTTCAACCAGTCGAAGGGTGTGGTTCGCTGCCATGAGCTGAAGGGCTGCTCCAATGAGGAAATTGTGGCTGATTGCGAAGGTGTGGTCGAAGCCCGCCGGATTACTCTTCGATGGGGGGAGGCCACACTTAAAACTAATACGATTATTCTAACTTGCGATTCGTGCCGCCCTCCAACCACCGTTCGGGCATCATACTTGGTCCTGGACGTGCGACCTTATGTGCCAAACCCTATGCGCTGCTTTCAGGGTCAGAAGTTTGGCCAAAGCCAGTCGCGATGCCGACGTGCAGCCGTGTGTCCTCGCTGTAGCAAGACTGGACATCCTGAGAAGGAAAGCAAGGCTAGTCCTAGCTACCCAAATTGCCAAGGTCAGCACACAGCCTTCAGCAAAGATTGCACGACTTGGATCCAATAACGCGTAATCCAAGAGTACAAAGGGCGAAATGGCTACTCTTTCCAAGAAGCCGTCAAAGCTGTCTGCCGCCAGTTGTGACCCCGGTCACTGGCCGGTCATATGCGAAGACAACCCGGCCAGCCATGAAGTCGGCCAGTACCTCTACTGCCGACTTCCCTGCGCCCGCGGTCAACAGGAGAATTTGTGCACAAAGGAAAAAAGTCCTTGCTACTATTGTGGCACCCATCTTTGATGTGCCACTGTCTAAACGCTTTGGGGTTCTAGAGTGGGATACGGTGGACCCTTCCCACATCCCCTCTTCTTCCCCTCTCCCTCTTCAATCCCTTTCCCCCTCTTCTCCCTCCTCACACCCCACCCCTCTAGTGAAGTGTGAGGTATCCACTTCCCCCTCTCCCGAGCCCTCCCCCCCCCCCATTCCCAGCCCGTTCCATCTGCTCCACATCTCTCCAGCATTTCCTCCCCTACCTATAGACGAGGACAACCCTGACCCCCCTCCCAGCCTGTCCCCTGGAAGGTCGGAGCCCTTCCCTCCTCCCCCAAATCCCCCACTATGCAGCCGCCCAATCCAAGACAGCTGCCTCACCCGCAAGGAGGAGTCAGAGTGTTTCTTCGAAGCCGGGGCCTGTGTGCTTCAATTTTTTTTAAAAATGCCTTCATAATGGCAGTCCTGCAATGGAATGCCGGCGGACTCCGACTTTCCAGTGCAGAATTGCAACACTTATAGGCCACATTGTGCCCACTTGTGGTCTGTATCCAGGAGACAAAGTTCGCCCCGGCTTCAACCATAGACTTAAGAGGTTTTACTGCGTATCAGCATATTCACAAGGAGAACCAGATTGTTTCCGGGGGAACCACCATCTACATCGACAACAACACACTCCACGGACAAGTACATCTTAGGATGACCCTCCAGGATATTACCGTACGGGTCAACCTGCACAGACCAATCATGAATACCAAATTACCCCCTCAAAATAACTCAACAAAACGATTTAAAGCTCCAGCTCCCAAAGCCCTTTATTTTGCTAGGTGACTTTAATGCCCACAACCCCCTTTGGGGAGACAAACCCACAAATCAGAACGGGAAAATGATAGAAGATTTTTCATTTCATAACAACATCTGCCTCTTAAATGATAGGTCCCTCATTTACAGAAACAAATGCACTTGTAGCACTTCATCCCTAGACCTCGCCTTTTGTACCCCTGACCTAGTCCCAGAACTAGAGTGGTCAGTGCTTGATGACCGTTCGGACCAATTCCCAATTCTTTAAAAAAAACCGACCCGATCCCAGAGCGCTTCAATTTTGAAAAAGCACACTGGGACGGGTTCGACATTGAGTGTTCACAGATTTTGAACTCCACTTTTGACCTCAACTACAACGAATTCCAAGAAACGCTTCTAGAAATATGTCGCAAATACATACCAAAAACATCCCCAAAACCCCGGAAGAACAAGATCAGGTTCTCTGGGGAGTGTGATGATGAAGTAAAGAAAAGGAAGGCAGCATATTAGAGATCCGTCGACAACACCATCACAGAAAACAAAATTAATTCTTGAAAAGCTCGAGCTGAGGCACGTAGAGGTCTCAGGGACAGCAAAAGACAATCGTTCAGAAAATACATCTCGAGAGTCAACAGTCAGACACCACTCAACCAAGTTTTTAAAATCGCGAAAAAAAATTGGGTAGACGCACAGACACCATCCGGCACGTTCAGAGGCTGGATGGAACCACAGCTGAAACACAGGTAGACATCGCAAACACAATAGCTACATCACTCTTAAAAAACTCGTCCAAAGCAAACTACAACACGACCTTCCCCCCCAAAAAACAACTAACAGAGAACAACAACACCTGAACTTGCACTCAAACATCATTGAAACCTACAACGCAGACGTCACATTAGACGAACTAACATCGTGTGTCTCGGACCTGGGCAATACAGCCCTGGTCCGGATGACATCCACAACCAGATCAATAGACACTTACCCACAGAAACACTTACACTCCTACTAGACATATACAATGATATGTGGCGGTCGCACTCCTTTCTGCAGAATACAAAAACCTATAGGAAAATATCCCGGTGCGAAGCTTATCTTCACAGATGGCTCTAAATCGGCTGTGGGGGCCGCTGCCCTATCCTCAAACAGTACACACCAGAGGAGACTTCATCCCGAAGCCTCCATTTTCTCTGCGGAGGCCACTGCCATTGACATGGCACTGGACTCCCTAACAAATATTTCCTTATCTTATCTGACTCTCTGTCTTGCATCACCTCACTTACAAACTAAACACCCTTAGACCCAAAAATAGTTAGGTCACACAAAAAAACATTCACGCTTTGACTGAAGCCGGGAAAAGTATCGTGTTCGCATGGCTACTTAGCCATGTGGGCACCCGAGGAAACGAACAAGAGGACCTCCTGGCGAAGGAATCCTTGTACCTTCTGTTGGGATCAACGACGAGCACTCTCCCACAGACTGACTTTAAAAATAAAGTAAAACACTACACTTCCAGTCTGTGGAAGACTCATTGGAAGAAACAAATAAATAATAAATTACACAACATAAAGCCCGAACTGGGTCCTTGAAAACCTTCGGGCCTCTCCAGAAGAGACGACGTAATTTTTACTCGATTACGCATCGGACACACGTCCCTGACACATAAATACCTCCTTCAGAGAGATGAAAAACCGGTCTGTGTGGGATGTGACACAGATTTTACCTTTAGACACATTTTAGAAAAATGTCTAGACTTCGGAAAGATCCGAAGGAAATATTTTAGATCAAAAAAATTGGAAGATCTGCTTTCCGTCGTTGATCCCAACAGAATCCTTAATTTTATAAAGGGCATTGGCCTTTACGGAAAATTAATAATAATAAACGCTAATTTTTTAATGTTATTTAAAAAGTTATTTTAAATTTAAAATTTATTTACATCCCATTTTTAGCATTTTAGCATTTTAGTAGAGGTGTTGACCTGAGTCAGGCTGTGCGTGAACTGTTGCGAATGGAACCAACTTTTTTTTTGCGCGCGTTCAATAAATGACCTTATGCAGTAGCGAGCGCCGTAAAACTCTTACAAAAACAAACCTCCCTTTCTGCAGTAGCGAGCGCCGTAAAACTCTTACAAAAACAAACCTCCCTTTCTCTTTTTTCTCTCCCCCCCCCCCTCTCTCTCTCTCTCTCTCTCTCCCTCTCTCTCTCCCTCTCTCTCCCTGTGCATACTATGTAATATATGCCTTAATCAAATAAAAACATGTCTCCCCCAGGTGGTTCAGCAAGTACGTGCAAGTGGATAACGCCACTGATGACCTCAGCCAGTTGTCTCTAGATTCCGAGTATGTCGTCTTGCCCGGAGACCGCTACACGATTGTGGACAATGGGATGTCTGGTCTGGTGGCCACTCTGGCAGAACAGCTGCCCCCAGGAGTTGTCCAGCTGAACACACCAGTCTCTCGCATTGACTGGACTTGTGAAGAAGTGAGTGCAAGAGCCAGTTATTTTTTTAAAAAGTTGTGCTAATGTTATTTGTGGGGGTTTTTGATTTTAAAAAAAAAGAAGAAATTTTCATTTCTTTTTCAAAATCATTTATCTCACTCAGCCCTGAATCTGAGATAGCCGGGTTGCGCACTTCTGTGCTAGGCCCTGAACCCGACAGAATCGGGATGGAAATTTCTACTGCTTAGAAACGTAAAAAACAGACCCACTGAGAACAGAGTCTATTGGTGACCCTTGGCCATTTCTTTATAAGAAACAGACTATTACAAGGGAAGCCTACTCTTATTGATTTTGGACCACCAAGGGATCTTTAACGTGCCCAACTTGCATACAGGACCTCCGAGATTTTTCACCTTTGTCCGAGAAGGCTAGGTGTAGATCTTTCCTACCATAAGTTCAGGGAGGTGTCTGAAAGACGGCAGTAAAAAGGAGTCAAGGAGTAGTACTAGAAAGACTGCAAAAAGAGCCAGGGGCCCAGAGGAGGGGGCAAGGGAGATGAGTGGGTGAGGGGCAGAAAGAGGAGACGAAAGTAGACGACAGAACATTGTTAGAGAACAGGAAAGGATGTGAAATATCGCTTTTTTTATTTTAAAAAAAATGAATCTCCTTCAGACTGACAATCCAAGACAGTCATCTGGATCCAAACCCATACGTGTCACTTGTGAGAATGGAAACACTATAGAGGCAGACCATGTGATTGTCACCATCAGCATCGGTTGTCTGAAGGCCACACACAAGACTCTGTTTCAGCCGTTGTTACCCGCGCCTGTACAGGAGGCTGTAGAACACACGGGTTTTGGATTAATCGGAAAGGTCAGTTTTATTTCTAGGATATTAAACTCAGGAAAAAGAGATAGAGGTAGACCAGTCATAATTAATTACCGAGAGAACTTAAACAACAGGGTGACGGGAAAAGGCCTGGGTTGTTATTTTTGAAAGCCTTTCGGCAGAGAAAAGAGTTGCCACCCATGATAGTTGATGTCTTTTGTTTCAAATCTGGAACTTGCAGACGAAAACTTAGTTGCAACTGAACCCCCATTGTATTTATGGTACACGTATTTTCTGTGTGTGTTATGCAGTATGTCGATGTGTTTATTGAATATGAAGAGCTCAAGAGAAATTAGTCATTTGTAAGGGGGAAAATATTGAAGAAATCTGGTTCTCCTTCAAGTGTTCATAAGGACTACTGCTGTGCGCCGTACTTCCCATTTAGTGTATAATATATGTTACGAATAAGTGACCGCAGCTGTTTCTGATAAAAAAGGATATTGAAGACCCCCCCCCCCCCCCCTTCAATCCCAAGACAACAAAACAAACAGAACAGACCAAACAATAGATGAAAACCGACAAGGGCAATAACGTGACATTAAGACTTATGCACCCCCCCCCCCCCCACCCCCGTAATTTCTCCGTTTTTACTCTTCAGTTAACATTAATTTAAGGAGATTGTGTTCAAGTGAAGATATGATTGGGTTCATGACTTTTTGGAAAATTCTTTAAGTGTGTTAAGGTCCAAGTGGAATTTTCAGTTTGTGTTGCGTGAAGTGTTTGCAAACATTGGCGATAGTTTTGACGCGTGAATAATAATTGTGTAGCGTGTGAAGGCTCATATAATATGTGACATTATTACGGTGCTGAATGGGAATAATTTCCAAAATGTTTGTGAGGATGTTGGTGAATGTTGGGATATATTAAGATGTTTGTGTATTTTTTGTTGTTGTTCACATAGTATTTTGCAAGTGCGTTTGTGTAAATGAGCCTTTGGGGCGTGTTACATTTGAAAGTAAAGCTTAGAGATTAATAGAAGCAATATGAGAGTAAGAGATTTTGTAATGGTAAAGGAAATTTGCAGAAAACTGATGAGTGCTTTGCTCTATGTACATTACACAGATTCAAGCCTAATGTAATGCTCTATCCATTTTGTATTCATCTCACTCAAAAGACAAAGATATGAATATAATATCTCCTTTTTAAAAGATTTTCCTGCAGTTTGAGGAACCTTTTTGGGAAGACCACAGAGAGTCCACACAAGACAACTTCTTTGAGTCATACGAGTTCCTCTGGCTGGATTCTCATTTACCGACCATCCAAAGTGACAGAAGTAAAAGGAAAACCAAGGTACTACATGAGTAAGAGAGAGTTTTAAAAAATTACATTTCTAAAAATGTCTCAGAAGTGTATGCTGCAGACGGATAAACAGAAAAGGAAAAGGCAAAGATAAACAAAAAATCAAACATAGGGAGCGGCAATAGGTGACAGGAAAGAAAACTCAAAACGGAGTCTGAAGTATAAGCATAGAGAGTAGATGTCAGCAGATTTAGAAATGTGAACATCCCAGTGCACACTGTCAATCGGTTTCATTTAATTTACTGAGTTGGTGCCAGCTATATTTTCCTTCTTGAATGAGACAAAAACAATCGTTTTGGCACGCTATGACCCGAACTGAACCAGATTCAATGGTGACCTTAAAATTCAAACACTTTTATATTTCAAGGTCGCGAATCAGGCCGGTAGTATTGTGCCAAAATGGTGGCCTTTGACCATCTGTGATGGAGAATCTAGCTCGCCCCGACTCCATCAAATGAATCCGATTGGCAGTGTTCACTGGGTATTCGGTTACACAATACATAATTAAAAATTTAGTTTACAGTGCACAGTTGAAACTCCAGTAATTTCTTCCAAATGGTAGACTTGGCGTATTGATTGATATTGTTCAACTCGTAATATAAATGAATGAAAGTGACATATTTAAGTGCATCATTTTCAGGTGCAGGTCTGGTGCAGACCCTGACGGTCATGATACCCTATTCCTTCCTGTTGTCTGTCTTCTTGATCAGCTCGGTTTTTGTCTCTGTCTTATTAATTGCAAAGCTGTTCAGGCCCTCTGTGTATGTTGTTCTTTGTCTTCCTCTGCTCTTTCCCCCCTTTATCTTTCGACAAAGCAGCAGTTTCTCTAGTCCATTGAACCTATTTACGTGCTCAAAGAATTTCAATAGTTTTTTTCTGATGGTTATTTAATGATCTATTAAAGTATATAATAATGTTTTATTTGTGGCAATGTTTTCTCCCCCAGAGTGGCCACCCGTGGTGGTATGGGATTCATAGTATGGAGACAATGTACATGCATCCTAGGGTGTTGGAGATATTCTTGAACAGAGAACAGGTATGCCATACCCGGACTCCAAAATCATTAATATGAAGACCACAAGGAGAAAAAACAAAAACTAGTGTTCACATTTTAAAGATTTATTGAGTTTTGGGCTGCTTAAGGATACAGTTAAACTAACGCAGCATAGTAAAGAGAAAAAAACTGCAAGGTCCATGTAGGCTACATGTAAAAATATAGTTATAAAATATTAGATCCTTTGGGAGATATCAGGCTTTTAATGTTAAACCACGATATTACCAACATGTGACTCTATAATTTGTTCCCTTGTAGAGATTATATGTGAAGCAGCGTGGTGGAATCAGGCTCTCGTCAATTTTTGGGCATATTCAGTTATTGGTATGATCTTAAAGCTTGTTCATTTGTCTTGCTTTCAATGAAAAAATTTCCCTTCCATCTTCAAAAGAAGTGGAGATATTTTGGATTGAAGGAGATGGGGGTAACCTGATTTAAGAGGTAAAATTAACGAGAAAATGGCATCCAAAGCTTGGTAAATTCCAAAGCTGGAGAGTCCATAGAAGCAGTAAATTTTTATTTTAGTTCCTTTAATCGACGTTTTCGGGGAAATCCCCAAAGGAATGTGTTTGTAAATAGACATAAAAGGTGTTGAGTAAAAAAAAAATTGATAAAAATTGCTAAGCAGGTAGAAAACTGCTGTTTTCTTCAATTTAATTATTTTGACCCGAGCCTGATTCCACCATGCTGCCTCACATATGTATTACAACAAACTAAGACTTGTGGTGAAAGGTGTTTTTAAACAGCTTCTTACTTTAAAAGCAACAATTGATTTATATACTCGTATATTGATTAAATGTCACCTGTTGAGTACCCAGTTACAAAGACAACTTAAAGCCTGATTCGTAATACAAGATATCATAATTTTACACCGTGAGCTGAATTTCACCATCACCATCACCATCACCTTCATTTATACCGTAGTATGGCCCACCGTTGGGACTCTGCTGTAGATTTTGCAACCAGCTTCTTCCATTCCTCACGATTCTCTTGGTCTCCATCTACCGTGTGATGTTCCAATCACTGCAAGTCCAGTCTTTGGTGTTGTGTTCCCATCGTTTTCTCCGTCTGCGTGTTCGTCTCCCTCCTTCTGTTGTTCCCTGTAGAATAGTCCTGGCCGGTCTGGAAGATCGTTTGACGTGCTCGTATCACTATAGTTTGTGTCTTTTTCAAATTTTGGAGTTAGGAGGTCTTCGTTCGCCCCTATGGCGTTCCCAATTACTTGTACTGTATTTTTTGGTTCTCACTGCCTAATTGGTTGTGTGTGATCTCTCTCTCTCTCTCTCTCTCTCTCTCTCTCTCTCTCTCTCTC